GATGTGTCTCAAGTAATAAATTAAATTTCTAATGTTTTTTTATTTTTTATATTATCAATACTTGAATGAATTTACTTATTTAGATTTATGATAAAGTAAAATCAGATAGTTACATCAATAGTATTCAAAATAATATATCTGATAGTTTTACTTCATCAGATCCAAGATACTATGGAGCTGATTACGATATGCCAGAGAATCACGGAACTGCTAACATTGTTGTAACGGATTCAGCGGGCAATACTGTTGTAGCTACAAGTACATTAAACACTTAGTAAGTATTTAAGTATTTTTTTACATTTATAATTGATGTAAGTTATTTTATTTAGCAATGTACCTACCGATTTCATTTTTATTTCAGCTTTGGTTGTGGTTTCATGTCTCCTAGTACTGGTATACTTTTAAATAATGAAATGGATGATTTCTCTACTCCTGGAGTCATTAACTATTATGGTATTCCATCTTCACCTGCCAATTTCATTGAACCCGGCAAGCGACCAATGTCTTCAATGTGTCCAACTATATTCACTGATAGAAATGGTGACTTCGTTCTCGGAGTGGGAGCTGCAGGAGGATCTAAAATCACTCTTGCTACTGCTTATGTATGAATTTTTTTTCTAAATGTATAAAGTTTTAATTTTTTAAATTAATTTCAAAGTATTCTAGTAAATATGAAATTATATCTTATTTAGCTTCTAAATTTAAATAGTTGTAGAAATGCAAGTAGGAATTTACATAGGTAGAGTAATTGAGTAATTTGAGTAATTTTCTATAGTTATTTATACCTAATAGACATAACAAACAAACTTAACTATTGCTACATAATATTTTTTTTAAGTAACCTATTTAGGCGTTTATCAAATTTATCACTCTAAGTAATTATATCAAAATTAACTTTTATCAGTACTAGTTATGTTTTACAAATAAAATGCCTAGTTTGTCATGACATTTTCAGATGTCTTAAATTCCCTTCAAAACCCTGTATCTGAAGGTACAGCAAGGATATTCAATTAATTTATATAAATATATTTTTACAAACTTAAGTTAATTAAAAATGTGTTGGGTTTATTAAAAATGGAAATGGAACTAATTTAATTAATTATCTATGAGATTCAAAAAATTCTTCAAATGTTTTAAAACTGTATAATATTTAAAAAATGTTTGCTGTTTTTAGGTGTCTGCTCTCAAGTTATGGTACAATCAAACATTAAAAGAAGTGATAGACAAACCCAGAATTTACCACCAACTTATACCTATGGAAGTGCAATATGAATATGGAACAACTACGGTATGAGAGAAATGAGATTTTATTTTACTACTTTATTCATAAATCATAATACTAGTTCAATTTTAGCTATAAGTCCATTGCATATTTTCAGGATATAGTACGGAAACTTATGGATATTGGTCATCCAGTCCTTAGGTTGGATAATGGAGCATCAGCCGTTACAGCCATAGCTAAAACTTCTTCAGGGAGGTTTGAAGCTATGCCAGATTTTAGGCGGCCAGGAAATTCATCTGGAAATTAATACAATATTATGTTTTATATTGATTGAATTTTATTAACTACCTATTTGTTGTAAAAAGTACCTTGTATGTTCCTAAATTATTATTATACCTAACCAAAAATTACTATGATCTAGCTTTTTGAAATTTTGTTGTACGATTAAAAATATTTATTGATGTATTTTTACTGTGCAATTTATATTAAACTAAATTTCTTATTTTAATTACTTATTTTTATGAAATATTTATATATACAGTGGTGTAAAGTTTTTATGTTAGTGCATACTACTTGAATAAAGACAATAAAGACATAAAAAAGAGTTGGTTTTGCGATTTGAACTAGTAATTTCTCAAGAAATATAAATAGAAGCATTCGTTACTACTACATACTTAAGGTAATTTATAGCCACCATATTTACATGTGACTTTTGGATATTTGTTGTTATACGTTATATGTCAATTTTTTAAATTTTACTCAGTATAATAATTGTATCGTATATAATTTATGTTATAAGTGGTATTTATTTCTCAAAGCAGTGGCGGTCAAATGATTTTGTCATGATTGTGGGAGGGATGCAACTTTTTAACATACACTATTTGATTATCAAAGTTAAATGTTTGGTTATACCCACGGTTATCTACTAGGAAGGAGTAGATAACCGTGGTTATACCTAATGGCTAATACCAATTTTGTAAATTATAATAAGTTAAAAATTGTTCACATAAATAAATCCATTGAATTTTTTGATGAGCTTTTGAAGTTCGAGTTTTGACAAAATTCATAAAAGTCACTAGAAATGTGCCAATTATTCTGAGTTAGAAATTCATACTTTATTTATATATAAGCTTCAAAAATTTAATACACGATTCTCTATATGTTTTCCTATATTTAAACACAGTTTATCAGAAACTCAAATTCATTTTTTTATATATTCACTCGGTTTCTCGTGGAACGATTTTATTATTTTCTTGTAAATCAAAAACAAAAAATTGTAGGTACTTAAGATTTAGTATATATTTTTATTTTATCATTTTCAAATTATTTTGACTCGTTTTGAGCTGTTTATAGACGTTTACAAATTTTCAATTTTTTTAGTTTTTTTTTTCTATAAATGTCAATAAAATGTTATTCGTAAAAAGCTTGACAATTTGAACCATTTCTGCTGATATATTGTTGCAATTGCAATTGAAAATTATTAAAAATACATAGTTATAACTTTTTTTATAAGCATTTAAAGTTCACATTTTGACAACATTTATAAAATTGAAAATTTACCAATTATTTTGAAGTTAAAAATGTATGAAAGTTCAACTTTTATAGCTAAGGATTGAAAATTTAAATTAAAGTTCCTCGTAAGTATTTCATTCTGCAACCGAAAAATCTAAAAAAATTTTTTGTTTAGTTATTCAGTTAAAATTTGGACGAAATTACATATTAAATAACCAAGAATAACAATTTTAGTTATATTGTTGTAATTTGAAAATATTTTTGTGAGTACTTGAAACTATTAAAGAACATTATCATGTACAAATATGATAATATGCAAATAATATTCATTCAACCTACCGTCTACCATAGTAATAATAACAATATAAATAATATAAAATATCCTATTCCGACAAACCGTCTTCGCTAAGAATCGTTTTTCGTATACTATGATATTATATAATTGAGTTCAAATTTAACATTTTCCGTTACAGCGACCCATTTGTAACTTACTGTACAAAGGAGCGTCACCCACTTACCCGTTTTCTTATATTATTATTATATATATGTATTGATAAAAATACTTATCTGTGTATGCAAATTATTATTAAAAAGGTATTGTTTAAATTCTAATATAAAATATAATAATAGTAGGTACTAGGTATTTACATACAAAATAACTACCTATGCAGTATAATCTCATTTCTTACTATTTGTTTATCTCATTTTAGACTAAAGACAATCGTTTTACATTAACCCTCTCACACCAATATATTATAGCCTATAGGTAAATAGATAATTTTAACTTTTATTTTTTTTTCATCTTAGTTTATATAAATATAGGGACAAAGTAGATAGTTGTCATTAGTCATAACTAATAATTGTAAAAAACAAAAATGAACTTTATGGCATTCAATTTGAATTTTAGTACTTATTTCTGTAAAAAACTACATTTAAATACATTGATTTTTCACGGAAATAGGTACTAAGGGTGATAATGGATTTTTGGGACTTAAGTACCTTTCTACTGAATTTTGATTTTTAATGAAAGTCAATATTTTCAATTCCATAATCTCTGAAACAGTTGGATGTGCCTATAAAAATAAATATTTATTATTTTTTGATAACAATCTGTTGTTTTGATCAAAGTTTTGGTGATCGGATAAGTGGGCTATAGATTTTACGGGATACCTTATTTTCCTAAAAGATTCAATAGAAGTATTTTACTTCAGATTATGAAATTGAAAGTATATATTTTAATTTGATATCCAATAGTTTGTAGATAGTGTCTGGTATAGTAGGTTCACCAACTAACATCTTGAAAAAGACAATAGGTAAATAATGTTCAAGTAATATGTAGTTTACATTTTTCAAAATACATAGTAATATTGCTTATTTCAAGAATTATACTTTATATAAATAAATTATTGTTGTCATTGTCAATATAAATATATAATACTTTAGTAAATTATTAAGGTTAAAACTGTGGTATTATTGATTTTTTTATTTTTAAATTTAGATATAGTTAATTACACGGTGGTTACTGGTTTGTATCGATTAATAAACCGAGGGTAAACTTTCTACACAAATACTAATTTAAAAAGTAGGCATTACAAATTGGTCCTTAATTGATTATTTAAACATTAAAATCATTATTGATAGGTACCTGCTTACGAAATATAATAATCTTTATATTTCATTTAGAATAACTTAAACATTTTGTCAAAAAAAGACAGCCTAAAAACCATCTGAATTTTAAATCTATGTATTAAATTGTTATATTGAGTGGGTCGTAGTTATAAGGCATTGATTTTATAATAGACAATTAATTATGAATTATTGAAAATCAATGGTATGAGTAAATATTTTGTCAAAATAAAAGTTTAAGTTAAACACTTTATACGATATAATGAAAAACCTAAGTATACTTAACCCATAATCGTTATTAATTATTTTTACTTCAGGAATGAAATATGTAGGCAGTAAATAATATATGTATAATTATTAATTATTAATTACTATACGTGTAAAACGTCACCATGTATACCTAACTTACTGTGGATAAATGCCAACAAGAACAGATGTTTTTATTGTTACGTTTTGTGTTGGGAATTTCATCTGTCCAAACCTATATTGATAAATGTAATATATATATATGTATACAATGACACTGCTTATACATACGTACTTGAGTATCTACTAATCTATTCGCTGTTTATTCTCACTTCTAGTTGTATAAAAATTCAAGGACGTTTACTGTCATAACTTTTTGGTCATCACTGAACGTAAAACCTGCCTGTCGACGCGCTCTCTCTTCGTTCCAGTGTTGTGTATGTTCCTACCTATTTGGCGAGTTATATTTTAATCAGCAGTACGAAATAGAATGTGATGGCATTACTACTTACGTAGTTCGTGGTGGCTTACTAAAAATTATATTTCTTTGATTTTTTTTTTTTTCGTGAGTGTTATTAATTATGTACGTACATTTTTTCTATGCAATATAATAAGCAAATTGGACAAATAAATTAAAGGTACCAAAAATGTAATGTAAAATATTACCTTTCCGGCTATTATAGCTATATTATAATACTTATGTTTATTCTAAGCTAACTTGAAATTTTAATACTATTGAATGAAAAATAGTCTATGAATATACAATTCATTAAACTTAGTTGTTCCTATCTACTTTTATATTTTCAACTTAAACGTATGTATATAATATACTACTTTTAAGATTTCAACTACATTTTTTGGAGGTTTATACAAAAAATATATTTTTATGTCAAATAAACCGTACCTATGACGATTAAGTTTGCGTGATCGTAGCAATTATTTTATACAAAGCTTTTTAACTGTTATATAGAAGGTCAGTTTCAATGCAATAAAAATATATAACAGCTAGAATAATATATAATGTAACATAAAGTGTACTAACAAATTGTATGTGTGTAATGCACAGTATTAAGGCATCCGAATGAGTTTATATGCGTATAATGTATTTGTATAAGTTCGTTATAGCATATTTGCAAAAAATTCAAAACGTTATTTCATTTTAGTACCTATAGTGTTGACAAAAATAAATAACTAACTAGGTAATTATTTTGAAGTTTTAAAAAAAAATGTAACTTTTTAGTTACATTAGTTTATACAATAAAATCATTTTATAGAGTAGATTTTGAGTTAATTAATTTGTCTTCTATATATAATTCTTTTTTTCACACAAAATCATTATGTTACATTTATACCTAGGTACCCAAAGTTTTGAGCACCATACATTTCCTATAATTTATGTTAAATTAAAAATGTTTGCGGATGTGTATAATTTGAATTATAACAGTTTATTACCCGATGCAGATTTATTGTGTCTATTGTGCAGTGCGATGGTGATGGTAATCTGCTGATGAGTTTTTTTATTTTTTACCATTGAACGTAGTTGCAAAATGACATAATAGAGTATGAACCTATTTTTATTTTTAGATTCGTACGTTATTTTAAAGAATTTTTCGTTATTTTAGAGAGATAATATTATGTACCAATCGTATGCACCTTTATAAGATAATAATACTAATAATAATAATTCTACACAATCCTAACTATGAACGTATCTGTTTTGACATTTAAAACATATTATACGGACACTTTAAAGGACATATTTTCAATTCAAAGTTTAAACTAAAATTTTAAGTTTATGCACATTAACTGAATTATTTGACTAGATTAATACAGTTTTATGCACCTAAGTAGGTATTAAAACGCTTAACTAAATTATCATGTGAGCATAATAAAGTGAACAATTAATTATTTCTAGAAAAGCCATGAGTTTCATCAGTTTCTTAAACTATTACTAAGTACTAAAGCTAGTTGTTAGAAGATGTGTTCAAGTTTTTATTTATATCTTATACATGATAATACATAAATAAATATTACATTTATCCATTTTCTCGAGTACTGACTGTTTGAAGCTGAAGTGTTTGGAAAAAATGTGTTCATCACTTTTTATTTTATGAACGTCACATGGTTTAAAATTAAATTCCTTTTCTAAAATTTATTTTTAATATTATAATTGTTTGTCAAAAATTGTATTGCGTTGGCATTTTGTCTACATGGGTACATGGTGGTGGCTTCAACAAATTAATTTTATAGAATGTTTTAAGATTTTTTAAAAACATTTTTCAATTTTATCGAACTTTATTCAATGCGGGTAACGGATTAATAAAAACATTAATAAGGCAATTTGTCTGTAGTTAAAAAAAAATGTCATAAATTATATACTTATCAATATGGTTTTTTTTATTTACTGGCGTCTATAGCAAGGTACATATTTAATCGATCCAAATTTAAAACTTGTACTCATAATATATAATTAAAAATAATAATTTTGTATTTATTGTGTGTATGTTAAGACTTATGTAGTGACATTTAATATTTAATTTTTTTTTAGACATTTTTAAATTTTTAATAAGTAATTGGGATGACTGTATTATGCAATTTAATATAATTCAATAAGTACATCCATTGTGGATGATTTAAAATTTTGATTTGTCATTCATTACATTGGTAAACGTGGGCATCACTGAATTATCGAGTAAGATCACCTTTCTCTTATTTTTAAATGCAATTAAAATGATTAAAAATGCAATTAAAATATCAAATTATTAGTATTATGATCCATCTCATAATATGGCTTAGGTAGTTGCTAGTTTCATATTTCTATATTAGAAATGCTGGAAACTAATATAATGGAAACTAATAATATTACGTTTCATAAAATAATTATGCCCATGATTAATATCTACTTCCATATAAATTGTCTTGATGACTTAACTTAATGTACAGCTTAAGTTAAAAATTTGCCCTAGACTATATTATATGTTACGCGTTCAATATACAGTTCATTATTAGAGACACTCAAACACAAAAGAAAATTTTGAAGTTAGAAATAGCGGTTTACAAAAATTATTACATAATATGTACAATATTATTCGGTAGGACGTAGGAACTTAAGAGGTATGATAAGTTATATTCATATGCGCAATATTCAAATAGTTATTCTTATATTATTAGTTATTAGTGTTTTTAAACAGCTCTAACATTTGCCCATGACTAAAAATTATGCATATAACTAGTTATGCATGTTTCTTATAGAATAACAAAACCCAATTATGTATACGTAAATATTCTAAAACTGAAGACAAATCTTATGTACGTATTTAAATAAAAAGCTACTTTTTCTTCTAGAGTTGGAAATTCGTTAATGCAATTATAAATAAACTTCAGTACCTAGCCACTGAAATCAACTTAATGATATTAAATTATAATTGTATTATTTTCTACAAATAAAGTATTAATTGCATAAATATGTTCTATTTCTTATGTTACATGTTAACAAAATGTGCTTTCAAACAACGTGTTAGGTAAAAATTAATTAAATGACTTTATGATGAAAAATAATTAAGAATTATGATCAATTGTTATTTTCGTCTCCCAATATAAAAAATATAAAAATATTATAATAAGAAGAAATAATGTCATCCCCTCGCACAAACATGACAAAATTAGGTCAGTGAAGCGAAGAAGTGACTAAAATATGTGAAAAATATGAAACGCTTAACATCTAAACTAACACTACCACAATGATCAATAAGTATATTTAGATGCATCAAAATGTAATAAAGGAGTAGAAATATTAATATTTCAATTGAAATATAAATATATTTTATTATAATTTATAATATAATATGATTGAACATTAAAGGATTGTGAAATTTAACATAATACTTACTGAATTATCAGTGAATTGCTTATAGATAAGCAATGAACGATTTTATTGACATATATTATAGTACTGTGAGAGGTGTGGCTGCGAAAGTGACGTAAAGAGACAGTTACTCATTATTATTTATATATTTAGTTTGTAAAAATGATTTGTTTACATTTTATATTATAAATACTATGGACAGGTATTAAATATAATGTCAAATGTTTATAATTATAGGTATTAGGTTAAAGCAATAATTAATGTGATATGTGTTATTTCAATTGATATTTGTTATAGAAACATTTTTTTGATTTTTGGCTAGAAATGTACAGTTACTTTTCTTCTTAGTAGACAGAACAGTCGATTTAGGAAAATCCTTTGGTTCAGTTTTAACAAATTATCACAAACACAGTTGGTATTTAATGTCTAAAAGTTAAAGATTTTTTGAAATGTATACGAATCACTTATATAATATTACCCATTTACCCAACAGATAAAACAATGCAGTAATATTATTGAATTATTTTCTATAACCGTAACATAATATTACATAAGTACAAAAACCGAACTAAATATTGGTAGGAAAGGCTGTAAAGGGAAAAAGAAATCGAAGGGTAGAACATATTTTTTTAGTATGGATACTGGACACATTATTACGTTTTATTCACAAATAAATGTATTATTGAGTCCTTTATTTAGTATAAAAAACTCAATGAATCATCGGGTCATGCGTTTAAAAATGTTTTATGTTACCTTTATCGTTAAACAGACCGTGCTACCCAATAAAATTATAAAACGTCAAGTGTAAAAATAAGGTTTCAAGTGCGAAATTACAATGTGATTGTTTGATTGTGTCATCATCTTCAATTATTTTTGTAGTAATTCGTCATGAGTTGTGGATTAGAAATAAAGCGTCGCTAATTACCTATTCTTAAGTTTCGATTTTTATTTTACGAGTAGGTAATAACTAATAACTAATGATTAATGATTACTGATTATTAGGTACAAGAAAAGGTAATTTTAATTTTTAAATACAAACTGCGCCTGTAACATAATTTGACGAATCATTTGCGGTGATTACTGATTAGATTCTTATGCAATTTTAACTTTCGTTGGGTATGCCTATTGTCATAATTACATAAACATTCTTTGAATCAATGTAGCGCTTATTCGGGTGTTTAACAACGTTCGAACTACAGCTGTAACTGACACGTAGACATCAAGTCTGAAGTGTTATAATAATATTACACTATAAATTATAATTTATAATATTATACGAATACACTCGTAAGTTTTTTTAAAAAGGACATTTTAAATTTACAGCACGATCACTGTTCATTTTACTTTTGACCGCGGTGAGGGGAACCTCTTCGATTTAATTCATCCGAAAAAAAAAAACGTAAGCCTGACACAAATTTGGTGTGTATATAACAATTAATATTGGAGCTCCATATTCATTTTTCATTCATTGTTATCGTCTAATATTTTTCAGATTACATCGGTTCATTGATTGACTCGGAACACGATACGTACATTATGGTTTTCTGCAGGTGCGTTCTAATTTTATATTTATAATTATTTGTTTATAATGTATATTACTAACTTTATAACGTGATACTGGTACATTATTGTATGGTTTATTATATAAGAAATCAGCTAGATGTAATGCGCGAGTGGAATGATAACATAATTTTATATTATTATATAATTATTTAATAATAATAATAATAATAATATTGATAAAAAAATTGTTTGCCAACCGAGAAAACTATTATTAGTTACTACATGATAATAATATTTCAGCTACTGTTCTATTACAGACCAAGTGCCGACCCCGGTTCATAATACACCGGTATTTAATACACCTACATTATTATCGTTTTTTTAGTGTTGAATAAAAATATAATATTATTATGATTCCGAACCACAATTGTCCGGTATTGCGGTCTGTTCGGTTTTACTTACATGATTACCGATTGCAGCTCGCGTTTAAGCTCCGTCGTAGTTTATTTTTGTGCGTGAAATCAAATGGATAGCGTTCGTTTAGATGGCGTTTCCGCGTCGGGAAGGACTTCGTCGGTAGACATGTCTGAAAGCACACCTATACTTGGGAGAACAAAAAAGAGACATAGGTCAGTACTTGGTTTATACATTTTGCATCTCGAATATAATAGGTACCCATAGATATCTACTAATAAAAATTTCAAAGAAAAGAAAAATAGCTTTCCGGACATACTAGTATTACTGTCATAGTTTGATTTCGTAGTGGAATCAGCGGACGTACATACCTGTATAATAATTATCCAATTAAACGTAGGTAGGTAATTTATAAAAATTTTGAATTTTCAGACTTTCAGACCACACTACAGTGACCTGCAATGTTCGTTTACCAACTGTTTTCAATCAATTACTTAAATTATTTTTTGGCATAGACGTGTAGTGCTAGTAGTACTACAATAATATCACCTATATATACGATTGCTGAAGTTTATATGATGTGCTTATGTATACGGTATACACATTACGGTGTAGATACTAGATACTCAACCAAATAAAAAAATGAAAAATTATGTACTCGAATCCCTCTATATTAATATGTTTAATGTAGATATTAGAATTTATACTATGAATTTTATTATGGTGCTGAATAATACCGAGAAAAATTTATAAGAACGTTGACAAAATCATCTCTTACCCCTTCCTCCCCTCCCCCAAGAAAAATAAAAACTTACTGTATCTACTACTAAATTATTAAAAGATTTATTAATTATTATTTATGTAGGTACCCGTACCTGAGTACCTAAGTACATTGTATTTTACACTGTCTGTAGATTATAATTTGCGCGTATTATGTATATAAATATATAATAATAATATGAGGTACTACAACTGCCAGGAAACACTCATTCGTCTTGGTATACAATATGCTGCATCATTCATAGGTACTTTAAACACAATAAATAACCAATGCAATAGTACGATAAAAAAAATAATAATTAATGTAAGTATGTAAAGCACATGGCACCTACATTAATGTCTAATAGGTATTTACGTAATGTATCATATTATATTATTAAAAGTATTATGGGTGGGGTTTAAAATCACATATTTTTTATGAAAATAATTCAATTCCGCACGTTTATTTTAGATTCTGTGGGGAGAGACGAATTACAGTTTCACAATAATGTTTGTTTTTTGTATGACTCGTCACTCATCACCTTTTGGAGCCTTAGATTTTTAACTTTGAGAGTGGATTCGGGAGCAGATGAATCTAGATTGTACTTTGGGTGGGTTAACTATTTCCAGTATTATTCAAAATTATTAGGGAGACCATACAAAAAATTAACAATGAACGAGAATTTTAACACTGAGCTAATTTTTATCAAAATCGTTTTTGCTTTTTTTTTGTAACTATTCAAAAATTATTAACCGTAGACATTTTTAGAAATTATTCAAATTACATTTTTACTAAATATGATCGTACGATAATATTATCGTATTTTTCAAAATAGTTAGTTTTTTTTTGTTGCTATTTTTGAATATTATAAATTGTTTAGTATTTTTCCATTTTATGTATATGATGATAAATATGTAAGTATAAAACAAAGTATCCTTAGAAATATTCTTAAGAAGAGAATAAGAAAATTATGAAAAATAAAGGTTTTTGGCCGTCTCAGCTCAGAATCGTTTTTGAAGTGTACATACATTACCTACAGTGACTGACTCAATGACAGAAATATACTAGATGCCTAAATATATATATTATATAGCTGAGCGATATCCCTGTTTTTTTGTTCCATTAATTTTTAAACCGTACCTAGTTATAGGTTATTAAAAGCCCAACTTGCATCATTGGCATATTGAAATTGCAAGTCTAAAATGTAATACGAATTTCTGAATTGATTTCTCTTTTTAAGTTGTACGCTTCTGTAAACGGAAACAACGGGGTGGCGTCCTCTTAAATTGTATAGTTATAGAAAACTAAAAAATGTATTCAGGGAAAACAACGTAACGTATTACTGTCCTCGGTGTTTAATGATAACGTCATATAATTCTTAAGTCTATCATAAATATATTATATTCTAAAACCATAGTATAGTCATAGAGTAAACAGACAATAGATTATAAGTATTGCATTATAAAATAATATTTACAGCGGGATTTGGTTAAAACACATAGTGTTAGATTGTTTTTTTTGTCACGTGTTTATTATTTTAAATGCGGTAGCTATGATTTGTTTTTTAACTAACAAATAAACATTAAATTTATTTAGTAACGATTTTTAAAAGTTTATTGCACTTCCAATTTTTTTTATCATACGAACTGCTTACAGCGAGTAAATAAAATAAATTCATCTAAATTATTCGAATAGGTACGTTATATTATAATATAATGTATTAAACTACATAACTGTTTTTAAAAATGCCAATTGAAGAAGAAGATACTTGTTTTTCTGGTATGTTCTTTATACAACTTCTTTCAATATAAATTATACATAGGTATTAGGCATATATTGTTTATTCACTTGAAACTTGAAATTAATTCATTTTATATGCAATTTGATTAGTTTGAAACTAAAAAAAAAAATGAATGAATTGCTGTTCTATTTTGAAATTTAGTGGACTTAATTTTTTTATCCGAATTAACCTTGTTGAGTTTTTTTTTATTTGACTATTTATTTACTTATAGATTTTTAATTTATAATAACACACTAATTCTATGCATACAGTATAGTACAATGACGAGGTTTCCAATATCAGATATGTTAGTAGTTTGTGTATTTTTTGTTCCATTGTAGGAAAATAATAGTGAGCTATTGTGCAGTTGGTAATTGGGCCACATTTTATCTACCTGCCTCGTATAAAATATTTGTTTACTTTTTACTTACCTAAATATACAATGTTTATATTGAATAATTATTTTTTTTTCTAATACATAAAAACACTATTATTATGTAATATATTTATATATATTACCAAACCACATGTTATATAATACTAAACTTGGATCGAATAGTTTGCAATCAACTAAACGATTGCAATTATTTAAAATCTTTGTAAATTACGTTTTTAGCTATTTTTATGCTTTTCATTTGATGGCAGCTACTGCTTATTCATTATCATTTCATTACCTTTTGATAATGCACGCGGTCGCTTCATGTAAAAGTTCATGTGCACTGCAGTGTTAGGTATGTTAGGTATTGTAGTAATTTATATACGACGTATTAATTTAATAGTGGCCCAACTACATAATAATAAAAAATCGTTGAAAATAGTGGCCAATCACCACGTCTACCTGTTACAAATGTAAAACTTTAGTGGCCCAATTACCGTTTCCCTATTTGAAAAAAGGTTAATTGTGGCCCAATTCTCAGGCACCCAGCTGATGATAATATAATAATGATCACTTTTAATTAATTTCAATATTAACAGTTAGTAGGTACTCATAGTAGTATTCATGGTAGTAGTACTCATGGTTCATACGGCACTTATAATTTTAACAAAAAAAATCAAGCTTACGTTGCAAGTCTGTTGTCAACAGTTTATAAATTTCAATTTTAACTATTAATAACACCGTCGGTATAAGGATCTTATTAATGACTAATGAATCATATCGATACGAGTATACATTTTTCATTCAAAACCAAATTCTAAGGAATTATGCGACTTTTAGTGTACCTATATATTATATTATATGTGTATACAACACTCGTTCGTTGTTACAATTTACCCATATTAAACACAGGCCTGATAGTCCCTTGACATATGACTAGATGTAAGTGAAAATCAAAGGTAAGCGGAACATTTTAAAGTCAAAACTAAGTATATTTAATCGAAGTATAAGTATTAGTATAAGTATTTTATACGGTATATACTACGATAAAGTAGGTTGGACATTGTGGTTGGTATTATACCACAATCTATATTTTATACACATTATATAATATTACTTGCATAATTTTTATTGTAACCTTTGTATATATTTTTAATTACCAGTACTTTCAATTTATATTCTACTTTGTAATTCATAACCTCTGTATATATTTCCGTCTAGGCGTTTAATTTAAAAACAAATAAACAACCAATAACCGTATATATTAAACATTTATATAAATAGGTATTTATATAATATTATGTATGAACCGGACTTATCGCTGATGTTAAGAAAATAGTCTATTACATCGGAACGAATGATAAACCACCTCATTGAATGCTAGATGCACCTATACTAAAATACATTTTGCACTTGGCATCGAGCATCTGTTCTGTCGATGACAACATATTCATCATTATACGACTTTATTGGGGTATGGTTTGGTACACCCATTTATACTTGAGTGGGCAGAGTTTAGTGATAGTTTCCTATATGAAAGTGATTCAATAGGGTGCTGAGTGCAGCGCGCTTATCGATTCGCCTAAGAATGATATTGCAACACAAACACAGTCAATGGCTAACTCGTAGGAACGATATTATTTTTTCAGGTTTCAAACAAAAAGTTGCATTGTTCTAGTAGGATTGGTGATATTGGTCGCTGTGGTTTCGTTCGTGTTTGTATACACCCAAAATTCACCCAATGGCGAAATTCCAGACCCGGAATTTGCGTTGCCGCCGTCGAGCATGCCAATGGGATCTTACAGCAACGTCGGCGTCGTGTCCAACGGGGGACCGTGCGCACAGATCGGAGTGTAATTATTACAGACATTTAATACAAGAAATATTAAAAATACAAATGTAACGACTATTTAATTAAGTATCGTGTTTGGTTAACATTAATTACATTAATTGCCGATAATGCCCGATAGACCATTTCACAATAATATAATACTGCATTTTAATTTTTAAACTTTAAATAGATTAATATTGTGTGAACTAAAACAATATTATATTATTATGTTCATCGTATTTTATAGTTTGTAAACAGTGAATTTTCTAATCAGTTTTGAGTTAGAACCGGTTTATCATAAAAATAATTATAAATGGTTTCTAATATTAATATTTACTTGCCGTGTAGGTACATTGTGTTTAGGTTAATTAATAGGTTAATAAATTATTTCCACAAAATATAATATAACTTGTTGTACCTACTTGTTATTATAATAATTTACTGTTATCAGTACAACAAGTTACTCAATATTTATTTCAACCAACATTAGGTACTTATTAAATGAGATAGGTACTATAAAATGTATAAAAAAGAAGCCCTCATTGAAAAATCAAGATTTAAATATAATTGATTTCATCCATAAATGTAACCTACTAAATAAACTTAAAAGTTGTGATAATAGTTATTCAGGAATTGTTAATAATTATTAATTACTATTAATTATTAATGTTAATCTAGTTGTACATAAATAGATATTATATTATAACCTTTGCTGTTGAAGCCTTAAAACGTATAAATACAAAAAATGAAAAAAAAATTTAAACAAATATTATCATAAATATTATTATCTTACACTAACCTTAGGGCACGGATAAAAAATAAAAAATAAAAATAAAAAAAAATAAAAAAAAATAAACGAAATAAACATAAAAAACCTCGATAGTCATATTTTGTTTACACGATGTGTTTAAATATTATTATTATAGAAAACGTTTAAAAATAAATCGACGAATTTCATAACTTTTACGAACTTATTTACGATAGAGAATACCTACATCTATATTATTTACTGGTATGTATTTAAGTGTGTATTTACACTTTGACTACCTAACTACTTAAAACAAAATGTATTGTTCTCCGATTAATACGACAATTTTAATATTTCGATCGTTTTAAAAAGGGACGTGATGGCTAGAGGAGGAAATGCCGTGGATGCCGCTATAGCAACATTGTTATGTGACGGTGTTCTATGTCCCGAGTACATGGGTATTGGTGGAGGATTTATGATGAGCATCTACAACGCAACAACCAAAAAAGTAATGACGATCAATGCACGTGAAACTGCACCGGCCGCTGCAACTTCTGAAATGTTTGTAAAAGATCCCAAAAAATCGATGTTAGGTGAGTACATTAAATGTACATTTAAAAAAGAATACTCAGGTTATAGATTTGTTGAGTTCAGAATAAGTTGTGTACTATGATTATACTCCATTTGATTGTGTAGAAAAAAATAGACCGATTTTAGACTAAAGTGACATTCGACACTCATATTATTTGTTACGGTTAAAGTACAATCGATTGACCTTGGTGAATTCTAAGATATACTTAAGTACTAATTACATCAGTCAAACCTCGAATGAATATTGTAGTTCTGTAATCTGTTCTGGCTTTTACAAACGAGAAATGGTAAATCTGAGGATAAATTATCTAATGTATTATGCCTTCTTTTAACGTAACATATACACTAGGCATACCGTCCAGTTGTTAATATATGTATATTGTTTAAATTGTTTCGAGTACTATTAGAAGAAGTAAATAATAAATATTTGAATTGCTTATTTTAGCTATCCATATAATTATATATATTTAATTATTTATCATGTTAAAATGTTATCAGTCTGACACTTATACAACAGTAGGTACCTATGAAAGTTAATTAATATCGACCGACAATTTTGAATTTATACTTATTTAAAATATCCAACAGGTGGCTTGGCGGTTGCTATTCCAGGGGAACTCAAAGGCTATTCGACGATTTATAAATTGTACGGTGGCAAGGTTTCGTGGGAATCGTTATTTGAGCCAACTATTAAGTTATGTGAAAATGGTATAAAGATCAGTGAACGTCTAGCGTTAAACATGCGAAATCACGAAGAGTTGATAAAGAATGACCCATTTCTCAGGTATAGCGAAAAAATATATTACTTTATTTTATTTAAATTTTTTTTTAGCTTTGGAAAAACTTTTTTTATAATTAAATGGGGATATTGTATTTTAGAGAAGCATTATTCGATGAAAAAACAGGCCATGTGAAAAAAGTTGGAGAAGAGTACAAGTTACCAAAGTTAGCAGAGACCATGAAAATCATATCAGTTGAAGGTGCCGATGCCATATACAACGGGTCGTTAACATATCAATTAGTGGAAGATTTAAAAAAAGTTAACAGTATTATAACCGAAGAAGATTTAGCCAATTACGAGTTAGTACCAATCTATATTTGAACTAATATCGTCAATAAGTATTTATAATTATTATATAATATTATTGTGGTAAAATAATAACAAAACCTTACACTGGTGATATAAATTAAAGTATTATTATTGGAAGTTTTTAATTTTAATTTCGTGTGAATTACAATAAATTTTATCAATAGCAAACGCCATGTTTTAGGGTAGAAGTCGAAGAATCTTTTTCCGTAGACTTAAAAAGTGGACATACAATACATGTGGGACCACCACCTGGTTCTGGTGTAATCTTAGCTTACATACTCCGAATATTGGATGGAATATTACCAGCACCAAATTCTGGATTAGACGCACATCGTTTGGTAGAGGCATTCAAATTTGGCTACGGCGAAAGAACACATTTAGGTGATCATAATTTCGTAAACGTATCCAAAGTATGTTTTCTGCTTCAAACACTATGTTAACACATTAATATTCAAATAAATTGTATTATTTGTAGATTTACGAAAAAATAACATCGGATAGTTATATAGAAAGTATTCGAAATAAAATATCCGACAATTTCACTTCGTTGGACCCAAAGTACTATGGTGCTGACTTTGACATGCCAGAGAACCACGGGACTGCTAACATTGTCGTAACCGATTCCTTGGGTAACACTGTAGTGGGAACCAGCACTTTGAACATATAGTGAGTAGAACATATGTTATTTTTCGAATATCAGAAAAAACAATATCAATAAACTTAAAAAAAAAATATATATAAATAATATTTTGAATTTTCTTTTAGCTTTGGCTGTGGTTTCGTATCTCCTAGCACTGGTATTACATTAAATAATGAAATGGACGATTTTTCTACTCCTGGAGTCACTAACTATTACGGTATTCCATCTTCACCCGCTAATTTCATTGAACCAGGCAAAAGACCCATGTCTTCAATGTGTCCAACTATAATCACCGACAAAAATGGAGACTTTGTTCTTGGAGCAGGAGCAGCAGGTGGATCGAAGATCACGCTTGCTACTGCCTACGTACGTATGATTTATTTAAATTAATTGTGATTAATTATTGAATTATATTATATATTTTTATATTATGGTCGTCCGAATTTGATTATTTTATTTAGCAACTAAAAATTGTATGAACATTTATTTAAGTCTAGGATTAAACATTAACCATGCCAATATCTCGAAAAACCATTTAAATGATTTTTTTACATTGCAATAATAAAAACATATTGTAAAAATTGCATACAAATTATAAATAGCAAATTAACGAAATTAAAATAAATTCAGGACATTGTTCATGTTTACAATTAAAACAAATCTAATGACCAATCAGGTAAAATTGATAAATTCCTAAATATTTTTACAAAAATAAATTTGTTCTAAGAAATAAATAATAACATTTATTAGCATTACAATTTACAATGATCAACTTTTAATGTTTATAAATATTTTTTAATTTAATCAATCTCTCTGTCTTAGGGACATTATGTGTATATTTATATAAATGGTGTTCCGTATAAGTTACATTATACACTTATTAATAAATAAATTAGCAATATTGTTAAACGTTATTATGTCTTAATTCAAAAAATACTAATCTTAAGAGACTTTAAAATTAGAATTAGATAATCTAGTTGATTATAATATTATAATTTACATAGTTGAATTAGCTGTAAATAAACTGTATTTTTACATTACTTTAAACTTATATACAAATAGGATAACATTTAAATACTTTTGTTTTTAGGTATCGGCCCTTAAACTATGGTACAATATGACATTGAAAGAAGTGATAGACAAACCTAGAATTTATCACCAACTTGTTCCTATGGAAGTTCAATATGAATACGGAACGACAAAGGTTGTTATAGAAATGCAATAAAAGATTATATTTAATATAACATTTTTTCACTATTTAATTATCCATGTTTTGATTTTTAGTCTGTTGTACAAAAACTTAAAGATATTGGTCATCCAGTAACTAGGTTGCAGAATACCATAGGTTCAGCAGCGACAGCAATTGCCAAATCACCCTCAGGAATGATCGAAACCATGCCAGATTTCAGGAGACCAGGAAATTCATCCGGATACTAACAGGATATTATGTTAAATATAGATTATGTTTAATAAATTATTATTGTAAAATGTACCTTGTGAGTTCCTAAAACGATTATAACCACGACTACGAATGATGCGTGGTCAACAATATGTATCGATCATCGATGTGTAACATAATACTACTTGTGTTATCATTTTATATTGTTCGCAAATTCTAATTTTTCATATAAAATGTATAATATATAGGTAGGTATAAATAGTATTGTAGGTTAATTATTGTAATGAAAATATGAGGTCTATATATGTCAAACAATTCAAATAATTTTAAGCAAGATTAATCTTTAAAATAATATAAACATTTAAATTTTAAATTTAAACTGTTTGTTTAACTAGTAATAATGTTAACGCTGAATTACTATAATTATTGTCAAGTTCTTGGTGACATCAAATGTTGCTTAGTATAAAATATTCACTGTTGGTATACAATAACACTATACAAATTTTATGATTAATTTAAGTTCTCAATTGCAACAAAATAGCCTATAAAATAAATCTTGTTAATAATGTTAATTATTTATGTACTTTATGAAAACTTGAATGTCACACAAATACGTTTATTCTTTATAGTTATTTCTAACATAGTGTTTATTTTAAATCATTGTATTGTATTAAGAAAAATAATATTATTGAAGTTTTTGTTAAAATAATTTTACATTTTTTTGTCGTCACTGGAAGAACTGCCGATACTAACCTAAGTCTGTCCACATGGTTTTCAGTTATTTGCACTTTTAAATTCACAAAATACAAAAATATAATTTGTAACAATATTTTACAGCAAAATGAGTTAGTTCAATGTGTGATTATTGATTAGTACACAACATATTACAATACTTAAGGTCATAGGTGTAAATTGACTAAATTTTTTGGGGGACTCAAGCTCCCCTCCACATAGGCTATAATATAAGTACAATCATAGTACTTATTACTAGATTTTTAACTGGGGGGACTTGACCGAAATTTGGGAGACTAATTCCCCCCAAGCCCCTCCCCCCTATTTGCTCCAGTGCTTAAGGACTTCGGAGAAATTGTGTTTTTAAAACAAAAACATATCTTACAGAAAAAACTCGCATCATGTAGAATAATTTTTGTTTTGATAATTAGTTAATTTTATTTTTCTCAAAGAGCACACTTTTCAGGGTCAATTGATCAAAGACCAATTTCCAAAATTATTTTATTTATTTTTTATAAAGTATATACAATCTGTTCCTTTAGGGACAATAAGAATATGTGATATTAGAAAATATTTACATGAAAACGTGATGTGTGGAGTCACCCAGTGGTTGCACTACCCTTATTTGATAAAAAATTATATAACTATAGAAATTAAAAGCTATTGTTCCTGTAAATTAAAGTAATATTATTTGGATGTTTTCATATTTGTATATGTATTACGGGCGCAGTGGAAAATTCGGACAATGTATACAATGCCCGGGCATTGTATACAGTGACCGGGCATTGTATACAATGTCCGAAGTATATTGGGCAATGTAAATTGTGAAGTATATATACAAATAATCTGCATAATATATTATGTTTTTATTGCAAATTATTAATATTACATTATTATACATAATTAATAATCATCAATATAACATAATATAATATATTAATATTATTTTTTTACAATAAACTACTATACTATTTATACTAATTAATTAAAATTAAAATTAAATTAAATTAAATTATTTATTTTATTTAAATAAATAAATGTTTATTTAAGCACTGCATAATATAAACTGAGTGACATAGTAATATATAATATATTAATATTATTTTTTTTTCTTATAAAGTATAAATAGTTATATGTTACGTCTATCCTTTGGTTAAACACTAATGACATTTTGTGAATGTACTATATATTCCAATAACGAAACCGATAAATATCTTATCGCATATAATTTTGGTACGTACAGTTTTACTTTAGTTGTAATATACTGTCACTCAGTTTATATTGTGCAGTGCTTAAATAAATATTTATTTATTTAAATAAAATAAATAATTTAATTTAATTTAATTTTAATTTTAATTAATTAGTATAAATAGTATAGTAATTTATTGTAAAAAAAATAAAAACAATATTAATATATTATATATTATGTTATATTGATGATTATTTAATTATGTATAATAATGTAATATAAATAATTTACAATAAAAACATAATATATTATGCAGATTATTTGTATAAATACTTCACAATTTACATTGCCCAATATCTCTCGGGCATTGTATACATTGTCCGAATTTTCCACTTTGCCCGTAACATATATAATAATTTGCTTTAGAAGTTTCAAATTGCAAGTACTGTTATGGGCTACGAAATTCTTAATGTTATGTACTCATACTGGCAAAGGTGGGCAAGTTAGTGAAAATAATTAACTTAAGTTGAGTTAAGTTAAGAGAACACTAGATCGATAAGTTAAAGGTTTGTCTACTTTTTTAAATTTGTATGTAGATCACATAAAGAGTGACTGCGTTCTTGAGAATTATCTAGTTTCCTAAAATACAATAATCAATTTTATTGAATTTTTTATCATAATGTTTAGCAGTGGCGCCGAGGTGTATGGAAAATACTATGCCATTGTACATCAAGGGGCCACTCACTATTGTATTTATTTATCTTTATAGTTAAAATTCTTTACACATAACATTCTGTATAATTTATAGTTTTATTTAAAAAAATCTCCTGGTAAATACAAGTGTACTATAGTTCATAATATTTGACTCGTACATACAACTTTATTTATACGATAATTTAATTTTAGCATTTTTTTCCAATTTCTAAGATCCGAAGGTTGCTAACCGAATTTTTCCTATCGATGATTGTTATTTGTACTTGAAACATAATATTATGTAATAATATTGTGTATAGCTTTAGGCCTATCTAATCTACTAAAATATATCCATATACAAAATTATTTTGTCAAGAAAAATAACAGAAATGTTAGTGTTATTATGGTATTGGACGATTTTTATTTTTATGTTAATATTTAAGTATAAACGAACAATATTTCAATTTTTTTTTTAACTCGATAGATCATTTTTATTTTTGAATCACCTGTGAAAAACTAAGTTATTTCATCTACCGAATAAACTAATTAAGTTAAAAGGTTTATTAGAAAATAAACTCACTAGTTAAGTTAATAAGTTTAAAAAAATTAACTTTTAAACTTAACTATATATGCTAGTGTTATAATAATGTATTAATGTTATGTATCTCGTGGCTATTGCAAAATAACAGAATATGTTATGTAACTACGAATTCTTAAAAACTATACCTACGTAGTGGAATAACGAATAACTAATAAGCATTGTCAATTGCCCAAACCATCAAGGATGGACACAATTCCACGAATCCGAGATATCTCTGAAACCATCTAACTTCTGAAAAGTCATAATCCATAACCATAATTCTTCTAAGCTAAACGATATTAATTTGTATTCATAATCACGAACTCAGGTATAAGTAAGTATTTCGATGAGTTTATACAATTTTATTGAAAACTTGAAAATTGAAAATGTCTGTAAAAAGCTCAAAACAAGTTAAAGTATTTTGAAAATGTTATCAAGTATACAAAATGATAAAATAAACATATGGTGTAAATTGTACAATGTCGTGAAAATTTAAACTTCAAAAGCTCATAAAAATGTAATTTGACTTTATTTCGACTATTTATCGTGTACACAGGAAAAAAAGCACATATAATTTTAAAATCAATACATTCATCACTCCGTTCAGAATCTAAAACGATATATGCTTGGTAGATGATTAAATAAGAAAACTCGTTTGAAAACCTTGAGTTTAGCAAAATAAAAACATCAAGATAATATATTATTCACCTTCTACTATTCATAAATATATTAAATTGTTACCTAACCTTAACAACCAGTGACATCGGTTAGTAATTTTAGGAGAGTTTCTGGGGCTATAAAATAATATCCCCAAATGTTCCACTATGATCTTCAAACGTATGCGTTGTTTTCCCATCAGTTTTCCTTATCAATCACATAATTCTCCTTAAAATTCCATTTGTATTGTGACATGAGTTAAACCTAGTTTTGCCCTCAAAAGTACTCTAGTGCAGTCATATTCGACCCCGTTGGGGTCAAACTGGGGGAGGTGTGAGGGAGATAGATCCCCACTAGTGGTGTGGCCAATAGGTGGGGTTTTGTGCGTTTAAGCCCCTGCATTGGCATTTTTTCCACTTATAAATGTATTATTTATATACGAAAACTGTAAGAAACTTAGTTTAATTTATGGTTAAGCACTCCCACATTGCAAAACCCTGGCTACCCCACTGATTCCCACACGATCTTTTTTCAATATTTATAATAACATAAATTATAAACTATACTTTTAATGATTAAATAGTGCATAGTACTAAAAAATCAGGTCCCCCTTGATAACTTAACCCCCACTAATTCAGAACATCTTAGAAAATGGCAGTGTACCTGAGGATTTTGATTCCGCGTATACCTCTGCTATGTCTGAGAGAGTCCAGAGGATATTTCTGCTAGCTGTGAGTTACACATAACCTTATACACCCCTCAGGCACCTCATGGCTTCTCATTCATTCTAGATTGGCTTAGACTCTCTAGTCCGACACAGGTACAGGTCCCAACTATATTTTCTCTCTAATCTCTCTTTCATGCAAACTCGACTTCCTGCACGTCTTGAACACATTTCTATTGTTAGTTTCAAAGTTCCGTTACACCATACTAGACTAAGTAAATGTTAAATTAATTGATAGCACAGCACTATTAAAACATGGTTATATTAAGTAGTATAGAGTTGATATATGACACGGATATAAGTAATTATTGACGCATCACTCGTAAATATATTGCATTTGATGTTTATAAGTCAGTATTTTTAATCAAGTACTTACCTACATATTAATTATAATTACCTGTGTGGAAATCAACAAACATTTAAATATTTTTTCAACGATTTATCTATCGTCAAAAAACAAAAAAAAAGTTATAATTATTAATCACACGATTAGAATAGTTTAAAATGGGAATTTGGCTTTGGTAAATGTTTTAATATCTAACAACTAACAAGTCAAGTCAACATACTTTAATTCTCAACCTGCGTTATACTATACTTTTCTGAACAATTTTGTTCAAATTATTACTTTATTAAATTTATGTTTAAGTTAATAAGCAATAGATTTAACAATAATATGGATATAGCAGGACCCATATACCTACTAATAATTTACATAATATTTATAATTTTATTCCGAACATATTTTTATAACAATTTTATTACCTTATTATTTTTATTATTTCTTTTGCTTTTTGTGAAATCATAATAATAGTAAATATTAAATACAAGATACAAATAATTATTTGTTATATTCTGAATGTTAAATTATTATATCGAGAATTATTATCGATATTCAATAATCGATAGTTATGAACGCAACTATTTGAAGTGTTTTATTATAATATACTTAAATAGGTGTTATTAATTATATTTGTACTTCTAACTCCTACTTATGTAAGTTTTTAAATTGCCTTATTACACAATACAAAACATTTACGTCACATGAATCTGAAGAACTTATTTCAATATACACATAAATAGGTATTACATTTATACTGGTAGTCACCAATCGTCTTTAGATTAGGTTTTCGATTGGTTTGTTCTTGACAAAAATATTTACTCGACGTTTAGTAGGTTTATTTATTTATTATATTATTTATTTATTTATTTATTTATTCATTTCGGAAATATGAACATGAATCTCATTATTATAAATTACCCGATTGGACTAGACCCAGAATTGTATGTTAGAGCACCAACATCGTTTCCATTTACTAAGATTATTGTTTTTCAGATTATAATATTTGTTCGACCAATACGCTCAGAAGAAGATAAAGTAGTATAGTCACCGCACGTGTGTTCGTACTGCTTTTAACTTTTCGCCTCCAAATTTAAGTCTGTACAATAAAAGGCCAAATATAATGCTTATGACTTTGTAAGTTGATTTTATTATTATTAAATTTAAAAAAAAATATACTACCACTTACCTAAGAACTAATTAGTTTTGTAATGTACTAAGTATTATGACCATCATCCCCAGATTTTATTTGTACGTTAACCTACTTTTTCATGTTGAACAATTACTTATAACAATATTACTATAGGCTGTTGAATATTTCTTGTCTCTAAAATTAAATGGATATAAATCATTCTTAAATAAAAATAATAGTACTTTAAAAGAAAAGTTTTCATCGTATCTGGAATCAAACATCTGTACTAAAGTAGTACAATTTTCATACCAAAAAGGGTTCGATAACAATACGTAATTCTTAAATTTTGTGGTATTTTTCGATCACTCATAATTACAATTTCCAGATCCAAGGTAACCGAAATACTTAATTTTTGTATATTATCCTATATAAGTGTTATTATAGCTATTTAACCATTAATTTTCGATTAGATTTACTATTTAAGTAAAGCAATTTAATTTCACTACATAATATAACAGTCATATAAACGGATTTTACAATTTTTGATTCTAATAGAAACTTACTCTTTCTACTTAAACATATCATTGCGGGAGTGGGATACTTAAATAATATTTATTTATTTTCTCATTCAAATTTAAATGTACACTGTACAGGCACCTATTGTTCACAGTTGCACGTAAATAATTACATCACATAGGTAGTTAGTAAGTTGTAACTAATTGTAATTATACAATTTCTTTTTAAAATTATGTGTGTCATACACTTTGCAGCATAGCCATATGCCCATATGGCAGTAGAATTAAATACAATTTATTATACAGTGTGTTCACGACGAAGTACGACCTTATGTTTCAGCTGTATGACCTTGGATTGAAAAGAGGCTTTCGGGAGGTGAAAAGAGTACCTACATACACATTTGCGGGCAAATTTCAAATTTGTAACTCTCTTGGTACGCACATGCGCAAAACAATTTACTTTAAAAAAAATTACAAGTCCAATGTTTTTCCACAGACTTGGGTCTATTATAATTTTTACAATGTTCATTTTACAATCGAGTTATCCCTCATATTTTTTAATTTGCTATTTGCAAAATTTTGCAATCCTACTGATAGACCTGATAAAGGGATATGACTTTTAAAAACTAGTATGAATATGTTCACTTGAGATCGGTCATCCCACATTTTTTGATATTTAATTTAATTTTCTAATAACCAACATTTAAATTTTAAGTATTCAAATAGCAATTATTGGAATTGAGGAATAAAATATTAAAAAGTGGCCTGCTTGATCTTAAATAGACATATTAACGAATTTATATCAGTTTTCAGAAGTTGTATCGCGTGATTAACAAAAGATTGAAACATTTTGGTTGAAATAGTTGTCCGTTTACAATGCCCTTAAAATCAAATTTAATTCATTTAAGTATAAAATTTGATCATATTGTACTTTACCAATTTTATAATAAGAAAAAACCTTTTCCTACATAAAATGTTCAAACAAAATTACTCTACCCTAAGCAGTAGAAAAAATTGGACTTGCCACTAAAAAAAAGTAACTTATATTGAGTACTCGCGTACTGAGAGAGTTAAACATTTTAAATAATTTACCTGAACATTTGTACTCAAGTACTCCCTATCACCTCTCGAAAACTCCATTTCAATTCAAGGTATGCTGATATATGCTAATATATATATATTGGTACCTTATATCGGGAACACATTGTACTTTACCTACATTGGTAAATAAAGTCGAGCCAGATAATTTCCACCATATGGAGTTAATCCCCCCCCCCCCAAGTCGCTATCATAGTTTTTGCGTTTAGTCCGATATTGTTTTTTTCTAATCAGAAACAGTCGTCTTGTTCGAGTAGGACTGGTGATACTGACTGTCGTCGTTTCATTCTTGGTGGTATACGACCATCAGGAATCCTCTGAGCACAACTCTGCCAACAGAATCTCCGACAAGGAATTAGGATGTCCACCGTCAAGCATGTTGATAGCTGTCTCGTTCAACGAGGTCGGAAACTCATCATACGTCGAACCATTCACACAGTCAGTAGTATATATAATAACTGAAATATTTTTAATTTCGATTGTTATTATTATTAATAAGACTCACACTGGAACGATATTGATTGTTTTTCTTCAGATTTCAATCAAAACCTTGCATTTTTTTAGTAGTACTGATAATACTGACAGCCATAGTTTCGTTCTTAGTCTTATATCCAGAATCACATGTCACCGACCACAAAATCGATGATCCGGAATTTCAAGTACCACTGCAGTCGAATATGACGGCGGGGTTGTACAATAAAGTTGGAATCGTATGCAACGGTGGCCCGTGTTCACAAATCGGAGTGTAATAAAATTATTAAATTACCCTATTATTACCTAAATAACAAAAATATTGCCAACATTTCGATTTTTAATATATTTAATGCTCTGTTACTTATACTAGTATTGTTTTCTAAAAACAACCATAAATTGTTCACATTTGATTTGCACGATTCCAATTGTTTTGCAAAAGGGATGTTATGTCAAAGGGTGGAAATGCCGTAGATGCCGCTATAGCTACAATGCTATGTGATGGTGTTCTATGTCCAGAATACTTGGGAATTGGTGGAGGTTTTTTAATGAGCATATACAATGCAACAACCAAAAAAGTAATCACGATCAATGCACGCGAAACAGCTCCAGCAGCAGCAAGTACTTCAATGTTTGTTACAAACCCCGAAAAATCTATTTACGGTACGTATTAGGGCAGCAAAGGATCAATTGTAAACTTTATTTTTAATTTTCTGTTAAACATATGCGTGATATCGGAGAACAGTGAGTTTTATAAATACGGATGATAAACGCAAGTAAAATTATTTATGCTCCAAGGAACTAAACCATATCCACAAAATAAAATCGATGTGTTTATTGTTTAAACAAAAATATTTCAAATTAATAAAATATCTGCAGGAGGATTGGCAATTGCGGTTCCAGGTGCTTTAAAAGGCTACTCGGCTATATATAACTTATACGGTGGCGGTGTTCCATGGGAATCGTTATTCGAGCCAGCTATACAACTATGCGAAAACGGCATAGATATCAGTGAACGTCTAGAGACAAACATGAAGAATAACCAAGACATGATTAAAAATGACCCATCGCTAAGGTACAATAAAATCTATGTATGTATAGTAACATTTTTTTGTTTTATACTTTTATGCCTATAGCTTATACGTTAAAGTTTCAAGTACATATAGTATATACTGTATATGTATATAGGTATACAACTACCTAATACAATGGTGTTTTGAAGGGTATATGTGGGTTGTGAGTATACGGTGTATATGCTACCTATAATAAAAATATGTTCGAGTTGACGCCATCATGGACTACTTAGGTATCTAATAATAATGGCTAAGATAGTTATTAAGTTAAATGTTATAGAAAGGTGATCTGTGAAGTAGTTGTTAATACTTGGGTAAATAAAAAAAGTAAACAAAACAAAGGAACAACAAATGTTTCTACTTTTAATTTTTTTGATTTAATGAAATTCAGTTTTATTGTAAATTTTTAGAGAATTGTTCTACGATGAAGAATCTAGTGGTGTAAAGACTCCTGGACAAATTTACAAATTACCTAAATTAGCAGAAACACTGAGAATAATAGCGAAAGAAGGCGTGGATGCCATTTATAATGGTTCGTTGACGTCTCTAGTTTTAGAAGACTTAAAAAAAGTAAAAAGTATAATAACCAAAGAACATTTGGCTAATTATGAGTGAGTAGCTTATTTAGTTCATTGATTTCTGTGATTTTTAATTTATTGTATTAAAGCTAGAAATTTAGTTTATAAAATGTTGTAAACGAAATTTTTAATTTTTAATTAGTATTAAAAGTCGATTATAAAACCAGATGTCATGTTATCAGTGTTGAAATCGAAGAATCTTTTCCCGTTAAATTGAAAAGTGGACACACAATACATACGGGACCACCACCTAGTTCTGGTATAATATTGGCCTACATACTCCGTGTGTTGGACGGCATGTTACCAGCACCCAACGCAGGCTTGGACGCTCATCGATTGGTATATAATATGTACTTTCCAAGCGAACGCTGGTGTCATAATTATCAATTGGTTTTTTTCAGGAATTGCAAAGAAGGTTAGATCAAAAGCTAGGAAAGCCAGGCAGCTACCTGGCAGGAATTGATCACTCAGGCAATGTTAAGCCTATGACAATTGGTGCTCGTTTGTATAGGCTAGAACAGCAGGTAAAATGTAGTTCACTAGACCAGAGGTTCCCAAACTGTGGGTCGCGATTATACTTTTAGTGGGTCGCGCTATTTTTTTAAATAATACAAAAATATAATCATCTATTACTTTTTGTTGATGTTCAAAGTTCAAATTCAGTTTTATCGTCAATCCTTATCTGTGAGTATGACAATTACGAGTTTACCAGCGGCCGTGTCAAATACTATATATTATACTTGTTATACTTTTTTTTCGTAATTACATACAATTTAATAAAATAGTTTAATTTTCTGTTGTATGGTAAAAAAAAAAAAAAGGTCATTCATTGATATTGTGGGTCGCCATATTTTAAAAAATTTTCAAAATAGGTCGTACAATAAAAAGGTTTGGGAACCTCTGAACTAGACATTAAAAACTTCGAAAATAAATCATTTGATTGGCCGTATCCACTATTTACACAATGGCATGGGTCAGTCTCAGAGGGGGTAGAATCATTCCAAAGTTTCAAACACTATATGAGCGTTATTTTATAATTTGTATACTGGATTACTTAGAAATTCAATACATTTTTCATCCTTGTTTTATGTTTTAGCTATCCATTATGGACAAGAAGCTGGACCAGTTGGTGTACCTTTTAAAAGTCCAGACGCACAGACAACAGTTTCCGGCCTTAGAAGAACAAGTTTAAACGTTTTAAACAACTATCAAAACGTCTCCTTTTCATAGATCACCCGACCAATGTTATTATTTTATTAAGGATCAAAATAAATTTCATACAGTCACGCAAAATTAATGTACACACATATCCGTTTGACTTATAATAAGCTTTATTTGGTAACTTTATCCTTTCGATGACGTGGACCACATTATTGGTTGTTGAATGACAAAAACTAACATAATAAATAATAATAATAATAATAATAACAATAATAATACTATTTAGACGAAAATTAATATTTTTATGAGAACCCTTGTCTGAAGCATCTTAAGAAGGAACCTAATTTTAGGCTAATGCACAATAAAATTTAATATAATACATTATTATTAAATATAATTATCGTTGAATAAATCTAAAACACTATTTTTCTATGTCTATTTAATACAAAAAACCATACTTGAATTAATATTATAAATATATTTAATTATTCTAACAATAAAATGTTACAATATGCTTTGTCAGTAATTTAGTGTAAATCACTTAATATCTCTCGTAAACACTTTAATATAAAATTGATTTTAGTTATTAGTTTCTTTTATATAACAACTGGTGATTTCTTTAGGCTTAATTAATTCGAATTTTATACATTCTTAGGGTTACGAGTACATGGATATTATTATATTAATATGTTGTAGTTGGTAAAAACAAATTGAGCTTATAGATGTTAGAAATAGTTTTAATCAAATAATCTGTTATTTATTGAAATTATATTTATTTATGTGGCAGAGCGTAAACATTCTTCAAGATTTATTTTACTTTATTTGATAGTGATTTGAAAAAGCAATAATTAAAAACATTTACTCGGTGTTCAAACGAAGAATAATAATAACGACGAATCCAAACCCTTAATATAATCAACATCCACCCAGTTTGTTTTTATTTTACATTTTGAAATCGATAAGTTTCAGAAACTCATTTCATTTATATGAAATATATTTTCTTATTTTAATCTGTAAACCGTATCCCTGAAAGTTTTCCGGCGCGCACAGTGACCAAAATTAGTTTGAAAATTAAACAATCAAATATAAGACTAAAATAAAAACATATTATTTTTCATAATAGAATACTTTTTTTTTCTTTTTCTTTTTTTATTGGGACCAATAAACTCCGATAACAAGGATAATTTTAAAACGTTATAATATCAAAAAATTCTAAAAAAAACATGTATAATAATTATTATAATAAAAGATAAAATTGAGTGTACCGTTTTATTATGTATGTGGAAAAATATGTTCTCATTTCATTCGAACACCAATAATGTCACATAGTTTTAATCAACTATTTTATTAGATTGTATATTATACAAATTACAAGTTACTAAAAAATAGATTTTTAATCTAAAAAATAAAAACAATAATTAAAACTTTATCTAGCTTAATCTGTCAATGTTGACAAATAAGAAGCTGACATTAAATTTTTCTTCACAAATACTAAATTAAAAAGTAATCTTCATGTGTATAGGTACTTATAACTGTTTTTTCAACGTTATCATTTACAATTATCGTTAACGTTCAATTACGAATCGGAATGAATAATAATTTTTCTGTAGGAATATTTAATTTAATATACTGTTTATAACCTATTATGTTTGTGTGGGCTGAAACAAGGGACAATAGGATTTAACTTTTTTAACTATTATTATTTTACATAACTGTTTTTTTAATTTTATATTTTATATATAATAAAATCGTTAACGTTTAGTACCTACCTATATACTTAGTTGTTTCTGATATTTTTATTCAAACAAATATTTCATCAAACATAATATGGTCTATAACTTCTTAAATTTTCTTAATTCAATCGTATACTATATAGGTATTAAAATAGATACTTAAAACTGTTTGCAAATACATTTATAGTTATTGAAGTTACTTCACAGTAAGTACATTGCGTTTTAAGCTGAGTACTTACAGGAAAAAAATTTATATGAACACGATTACAAGTCACGGTTTTCACATTTTATTTTTATCTTTTTTTTCTCAAAATATTTTCTCGTGGATTAGATATGAAAAAAATCCATGCATTTTTTGTTTTGAAACTTTAAAAACGTCTTACTGAATAGTGGGTATTTGATTTGTTATGAATTGACCAATGCATATAATATTGGAAAAACATTTTGTAAAGCAATCTATAATCTTGGGTCTAAATAAGTGCCTTTTAACCACAGTTAGTAATAAATAATATTATTAGCTTAACCTGATAATTTGGTTATAATAATAATTCTTTTCGACGTATATCTTCTAAATTATATATTTATAAAATGTTCGTTTAATCAATATGACAAAAATAAATCATTTTATTTAAACACGAGTATTATGACTATACTTTTTTGTAGTACCTATTTCTACCACATCGTGAATGTATTTTTATTTCATTCTATAAAAACGATAATCAATATTACGAGGATCAGTTCGTACATTACATAGATTGAGGTAGTAGGAAAATAATATAGATAGGTATGTTTAGATAAACATTTCAATTGTATTGACGAATTTTCTCATGTACGGGTACTAGACTTATATAAATAATAAAATAAAAATAAAAAATAGAAAAAAATTAAATAATAACTATCATTATAAGTTTTTAGATCGGTGTGGTCATTTTACACATCGATTCGTTATAATACAACAAAAATGTTCTTTTTATATGATATTTTACTTGATTAGGCGCATTTGTTTTTTATACCGACACTTTTGGCTATAGACTAGTGCAAACAATATTTATAATATAGATTCGTCTACCGCGACTGTAATTTATATATTATAATTTATATAAATCACAAACGTTGCTACTGTGATCATTAAAGTTTAAATATAATGTTGATAATATTTTAATATAGTGTGCCCTTATTATTATATATATTATATTTAGCATGTTTTTTGTACATTCGACTTCAAAAAAAAAAATAGAATTGCTTTATTTAAAAAAAAAAAAACTAAATTTAATAAAAAAGAAAAAACAAACGCCGAACTTATACTCTCATTGTTTACTACTTTTATTGTACATTCATTTTCATTTTCATTTTAGGAACAATTTTCGAGCTTTAGTAAATTTTTTAATCTTGTTAAAAAATTATTATCTATTTATGTATTATGTATAAATGAAAAACAAATTATTATATTTTCAGTCTTTGTATTTATGTTTTAATTTTTAGAGATTTTAATAAGGTATAATACGAGAAATGTTTATGATAATATTATTAAATAAAGCATTCCATTACAAACAAGCATTTCAAATCTTATACCTTTTTACAATATCATTTTATTTAAACGATATCATTTGTACATTAATTATTTACTTTAAACTTTTATTATTAATTAGTTTTTAGTTGTATTATTAAAATACATTATGAATTTTATTATTCTTTATATTAATTAAAATAAAAAAATAAAGCTACAAATTATATGCATTGATTTTTTACCTTATAGATTAATTACACCTGTATCTTATCCCTTTAAAAGGCGTAATTGTTCTATTATCGTGTTTGATGGCATATATGTTGGTCTCTTATGTATAGTCCGTATTACATAATTAAAAAGATCAAACTTAGTAGGTAATACAACTCCTATATAATAATTGATTACTTACTAAGTTTAATTTTATTTTGTAGAATGTAGCAGTAGTCCATGAAAATATGATAAATTTAACATCAATTATGTCCTCATTTCTCTGTATCAAGATCAACAGTACCTATCAACTATTAACCTAAAATTGGACAGCAATTCACAGAACACACAACAATAGTTAGTTGAAAGTTGAAAACACACAATCTTTCGGTTAGGAGTCCTCGGTATTTAAATTGTTCACAGGTGATATTTTTTCCTTGGAATCCTTTTTTATAATGATTTCCAATATTTATTTTTTATTTTGTAGACCTGATAAATAAATCTACCAAAATAAAATAATGGTATAAACCGTATAAAAAATCCAAATTATTTATATTAATTTAACAAATAGATTTAATAGAATCGCTGAAAATTACGATTATTTCAGTCGACTATGGCAATACTCTACTGCAGTCTACAATATCAGTATTCCTAAACTCATAGCTTTATTTACAATAGTTAGAACATGTAATAATGAATTTTTATAATGCAGTATATGGTTATCAAAAATAAAAAAATGTTTTTGAAAAATTGAACTAGGATTAAATAATAGAAAAAAAATTTGAAGGGGGGCATCGGCGCCCGCAGGCAAATTAATTTTAAGAATCAAAATAAAATTTTTTTTAAAAAAACTTGTTAGTATTCAATATTAAAAATAAAAATGGGAAGGGGGGCATGGGCGCCCGCAGACTCGAAATGAAAATTAGGAAAGTGAATCTAATAGGTACTCTGGAGGATCAAAAGTAAAATGTTCCTAATAGTTTTTAAGGTGTCAGGAAAAACCAAGGACCTATGAGTATAAGTTTTATAGTTAGAAAAAATTGAAATCAATTTTATTTCTAGTGGAACTCTAAAAAAAACAGTAAAAAGAAGTTACATACAATTTTCACTGAATTATATTAGTAATATCTATGTATCACACAATTTTTGAATTATGCGCCATTTATAGGCATAATAGAATTAAATCAGAAAACTTTCATAATATTTTGATTCATTATGTTCAATGATTATGTTGAACAAGTTATAGGTAGGTATATATAATTTTAGATTTTTATTATTTTTTTTAAAATTAATGTCGATTAAAAAATTCGTTGGATCAAAAGTCTTGAAAATGTTATACCATCACGTTCCTCATACCGCATAGGAGATTAAAAATAATTATACTATTTGTCTCCTGGCTGGAATAAGAAAACCTAACAACGTATACCATACCTGTACACAATGTGTAAATTGCAATTTAGTTTATTCGAGTGTTATTATATTCAGTTCTGACTTTATAAGCATTTGCATTGCGAATATTATGACTTATGAGTTTAATTGTTCCATCATAGGAGTCGTACGTGTTAGTGTTGTCGGGATGTTGGCATTTTTACACATGAGACATCTGATTGAATCGTTTTATGACGCACGGAAGAACATGCCAAAGAAATTGGTAAAATGTTTTAATAATAATACAGGGTCGAACGATACATCTATTCGATGTAGGTGGTTGGTACCATAAAATATAATGTGATTATTATTTATTCTTATGCATTAGGTAAGCGTGAGTGAGAAATCTATCAACGCAAGTGTTCGAGTCCATTTAGACCCGGCAGCTGTACCCGGTATTATTGACATTGAACAGTTTCAAAAAGTGATAGAAATAAATCTGCAATTGGAAAATAGATTGACCGAGTTGGAAGGTAGTTGTTTCATAATAATATGGCGAATACCTATCTAATATTAATATTTTTGAATATTAAACAAATATGTATCTAAAATAATCATTATTATGTAGAAATGATTCGACGCGGTGATGAAAAACAAAGGATTCAAGATCTACAAGTAACTTACTTATTACCTATCTATAATATTAATCAATATATACTTTGGTATTTTTTACTTCGGAATGGATGGAAATACCCACATTATAATAATATTTATCTCCTATTTGCTATTTCAGGTAATTTAATAATCTTTAGAAATCTCATATTATGATTATGCCCTTCTTAGCTTCATACGTGGTATACTAAATATTAGAACGATAATTTATAACGATTTGAAGTATATTTCACGAAGTATCCATAGTATCTCAATAAATACAAATCATCGATTTACGAGAGGATATTAGGGAAATCTAAGTGCCAAGGGTTGTTTGTAAGAATTTTATATTTACACGATATGTCATAGACGAAGGTTCAGAAAATAATAAGTATCCCTCACAAATAAACAATCACTAATGCAGTTCCTAAGAATTTAAAAATTGAAAGTACAAAGCAGTGGTCGGTAAAATTACTAGGACAAATATGTAACGAAAATTGTTTTGAGACCAGTTACATAATATGGCACCAAGTCCCAAGTTATAATCACGATTGGTTGTTTTAAAGATTTATGATTGAAAATAACTGAAACAATAATGATGAGTCATTAAACGCAATGAACATTAACACAGATGAGCATTCAAATAATAAATTCTAATAAATTTGTATGTTACTCCACGTCGTTGACGCCACCGAGTAATCGGACCCAGGTTCGGACTGTAGGCATTGACGGACTTTAATAGCAGCACGCCAGACGAGCAGCCATTAGGTGCTCGCCTTGCGGAACACAGAAGTCACTGGAACTCTGCCATCTGAGAGCTAAGTCCGTTATACCGGTAACAGCCGTCCGCTTCGTACGAACGTAATTCCAAAGAATTTTTACGAATATACGATCTATTAGAGAATTTAAAAATTTAATGTACAAAGTGGAAGTCAGAAAAAAACCTATACAAATTCTAACAGCACATTTTTTGAGACCAACATTTGTGCCAGTTATAAATTAATGTTTAAGCAGTGTAAGGCGATTATAAAAGACTAGTGGTTTGGTGAGGCGCGGTCGTTCGCTCAATCTGCGGCAACACTCCGAGCGTACGTCATAGGTGTAACTATTGACCAAACACTGGGGGTGCTAAAATTATGCAGAGGACGCAGATCCGTGGGGACTACACCCTTATACCCCCCAAACGCCTACCCTACCAAACCTATTTCATAAAAACTAAAAAAAAA